TCAAATTTGTAAAAGTCCTTAGGCAGCTGAAGTTCATTTTATACACTATGTCCTTAGTGCCACCTGTAGACTTGAAGTTAAAATATTAGACACTTGAGTATTGGGACAAATCTCTTAATTTTGTGTGAAGACCTTTTGGGATCGGCTGCTCCTACTTTTTTTGTTTTTTAAATATATTTTATTGATTTTAGAGAGGAAGGGCGAGCGAGAGAGATAGAGACATCAATGATGAGAGAGAATCATTGATTGGCTGCCTCCTACACGCCCCCTCCTGGGGATCAAGCCCGCAACCCAGGTATGTGCCCTTGACCAGAATCGAACGTGGGGCCCTTCAATCTGCAGGTCAACGCTCTATCCACTGAGCCGGGTAGGGCAAAAATTTGTAACTTTTGACTCAATAATTCCACTTTGGGAAATCTAGCTTGAGAAAATATGGGCTACCAGAAATCTCTATTTGAAAGAATATTGTTTATCACAATATCCTTTATATTAATAAAACATTGGAGGCAATCTTTATGTCCAAAAATGAGTGGATAGCCCAATAAATTATGGTCCTTTTCAGGATAGAATACTATGCAACCAGTAAATGCATATACAGAAGAAACTGAATAGCAACATAGGAATGCATAATCCTATCCTACATAATAAAAGCCTAATATGCAAATTGACCGACCAGCAGAACGACCGGTTGGCGGGGGGCGGCGGCAGCAGGGTGTTTACAGATGAGGAAATTAATGCCAAATGAAATAGTTAAGGAACTGAAATATGAACCCAGAGCATCTGGGTGCAAGTTTATTGTTGTTTGACTCCACTGTACCTACTTTTATCAGCCACCCAAGGTGCTTATACATCAATAAAACTAATGATAAGCAATGTTTAATACTTAAGTATGTTTGTGCTAGGCACTCTTTAAGCATTTTACCTATTTTTACTCATTCAGTCCACAACAACACTACAAGGTAGTTACCGTAATTATCCCTATTTTACCGAGCAAGCATAGAGAAGTTAAGTAATTTATCAAGTCACCTATCTAATAAGTGATGGGGTTGGGATTTTAATCCAGGTAGTCTCATTTCAAGTCTGTACTCTTACCATGCTATACTTATTAACTTCAAGCAATTTATGCAAAAACCCTAAATTGTTAACTCAGTTTTTGTTTTTCTATTATTTTTGCCCCCCCTTTTTTTTGTTAACGTACATAACTTTTTATGTTGTTGCAATAGGTGGGCATATGATACAAAATAATTCTTAAATTCATATATATATACATATATATATACACACACACATCAATGATGAGAGAGAATCATTGATTGGCCGCCTCCTACACGTCCCCTCCTGGGGATCAAGCCCGCAACCCAGGTATGTGCCCTTGGCTGGAATCGAACCTGGGACCCTTCAGTCTGCAGGCCGATGCTCTATCCATTGAGCCAAACCGGCTAGAGCTGCTCCTACTCTTATTATATTAGTTTGGTTTTAGTGTCACAGTGTGATAAAGCACTGAGTGATTAGTCTGCATGCATTATCTATGATGACTTGTTTGACAGTTCAGGGGCTAGCTGCCACTTTCGGTGGATTTTTAAGGAGAATGATTTATAAAGTTTAAGCATAGTTTAATGTGTAGATCAGTCATTGGGGAACAAATTTATGAGATGTATTTGTAGAGATCAGGGA